TCAGAAAAAGCCATTCCATTCCTTTGAATCTCTTTGTTGCCTTTCTCTGGATCGTTTCAGTTTGTTTGTGTCTTTTGAAGAGGGGGATATTCAAGTTGTGAATGTACTAACAATTTATAACAGTATTTCCTATATTATTCCTACCATTTTTCCTAATAATTTCTGTAACGCTGTTTGCCTGTTTAGTGCTGCTTATCACTGAGTTAGTCTTCATCAGGCTATAAAAAGTGATCTGCAGTCTGCTTTCTGAGTGGAATAATAAGTAATTTAGAGTCTATCAGTGTTTTGTATATGTGTTTGGTTTTTCTCACTGGTTTTACTTTCCATACCTGATCACTTTGGGACATTTACGCTTGGAGATTTAAAATAAAAACCAGTGACCTTCTTAGATTGAGTGACTTTGAATCTGAAAAATAACAATCAAGATTTAACATGATTTCAGATTCTCTGCAAGAAAGTCAGCTTCAGAATGGCAATGGATTTTCTGCTGAGGAAACGTTAAATGACTAGACAGCTGTGTTAAATGTTATCTAGATCATTTTCTTGGACTCCCCAAAGATGAGGATTGAGGAATAAAACCATTGATGATGGCATCTTGTGTTCTTAACTTAAAAATAAATTAAAACTTAAGAAGGAAAAATAAGTGTTTTGATAGTCAGGCAATGAAGTCTGTTTCCCTATGGTTTTGCAGGCTATTTCCTTTTCACACAAACCCTCAAATCTGTCCAAAAGACTCCAGTGGGATAAGAGACAGCAGCTGCTGAGGTTGGGCAAGATGGGTCTGTGCACAGCTTGGTCAGCATTCTGCATGTGCTGCATGGCCAAATGCCTGTTGCCCAAGAAATGTGCAACAGCTGATTGCCTTAATGAGGCCACTGACTTGGGGCTTTCTCCTGCACCTGTTAAGTACCACAGCCCTTCCAAAGATCTCTTAGATCTGTAACTCTTCCTTAATTCTCGTTGATAATTTCTGAAACTCTTGGTCCATAGTAAGAGAAGTCTGAAAGATAGATGGGAAGCATTGACTTATTTCTTTAGGAAACGAGTCAGGAAAAAAGGAGCTTAGAGAACCTGTGCAAGTCAGACATCGCTTAATAACACAGTCGGCAGCGTAAAGTGTTGTATTGCTGATATGTGCCTAAGAGTGGCCTCTCCACTTTGGCCAGTGGAAGTTTGAGGGAGGTTTTCACTGGGGCTATGATTGCCTGAGCTCTGCTGGCCCCAAAATCTGACAGCTCACTGTCCTGATAAGTGTTGATCAGAGTCCTGACAACTTTCATTTTCAAATGTTGTAATCTTCTCCGATCTCATACTCTAGTCAGAACTGGGTTTTGATGATAACTTGTGAAAATCCATTATAATGTTAAAAACCTAATGATGTAGCAATGGTTGTTCAAGAGTGTTTTATCCACTGGTCTGGCATCATGTTAAAAGCTTCTGAACTGGTAACAGTGTGGAATTTTTGATGAAATCGAACTGAGGTACTGCCCACATAGCCATTAAAATTACTTCCTTGTACATGATGTTCATCTTGTTCTGGCTAAATTCCAATCTAGTAACTTGTTTTAATCTGGTTTGATTCTTGTAGTACTATCTTTTGAAGTTTCTCAGCACCTCCCTTTTGACTGGTACCTCTGTAAAGCATGGAAAATGTCTGCCGAAAGCTTTTTGAGACCTAGGAGGCTGCACTTCAGCACTGCAGGTTTTCTTCTGCGGATCAGTTCACAGTGAAACACTGCAGACGATCAACAGTTTTCCTTCTGTCTTGCAGACTTTTTCCGACCCACAAAGCCCAAGCCATCTGCCAAGAGGAGTCAAGTGGAGCTGAAAAAATCCCGCCTTCGTCTGTCTCTACAAGAAAAGCTCTTTGCTTATTATCGGAGGAAAGTAGCTATCCCAGCGGATGAGCAGGCCCGGGCCAAGCAAGCAGCCGTGGATATCTGTGCTGAGCTGCGCAGCTTCCTACGTGCCAAGCTGCCGGACATGCCCCTGCGTGACATGTACCTCAGCGGCAGCCTGTATGATGATCTGCAGGTAATTCCTGGGGCCGCGTGATGGGTCGTTATGCAGAAGGCTGACTAGGCAGGGGCATTTCAGGCTTCCTTGCTGGCAGTGCTGGCTCAGCACAACATTCCTCTGTAATAAGGCTCTTGGTGTCGCCTTTCCTGCCGTGGAGCCAGGCGTTGGTTTCTGCAATGCTGTTTGAACAGGCGTGACCAGGCTACTCTGGCTTTGTCTGCAAAGAACTTGCTTTTATTTCTCCGGATTATCTCAGCCCTTCTTTCCTTCCCCTCTGTGTCTCCCTTTAGCTGTGTTTTTCTTGCTGTTTCTCTGGCAGACCTCTGTTATCTCTCTGTCCCTTCTGTCTCCTTCCAAATACATAATATTCCCGTAGAACTCATGTATTCATGTAGGTCTTCCCTACTCTTTTTTTTTTAATGCATGTCAGACCTGGATTGGACAGCAGTCCCTGCTGCAAATCTCCCTGATGGCAAGATGCCCATGGCTATAGTGAGTGATTCAGAGGCACACTTTTTTTTTGAGTCAGAGCTCTGGAATGGAGTGTCGAGTGTCCAGTGAAACTTAGATCTGGGGTCTTAATCACACTGGTGAAAAGGGATCTTTTAATGACCTTTTTCCAAACAATGTGGCAGACTGGGTGAGGGCAGTAACTAGTTGTAGCATGGGATAATAATAAATAAACCATGGCAACTTAAGCTTGTCTAGAAACTTAATACTCTACCTCCTGTTTTAAGTTACCTTGTGGTGTTGCTGTGCCCTGGGCCAGCCGCATCTAACATCCAAGGAGTGGACTTAGAGCAATAGGTGGCAAAATGATTCATCTGTGTGCAGTCCACGTCAGGTCCTGAAGTATTTGAAGATCTTTTAATAGTACATACCGTATAAGCACTAGCATGGGTTATACCTTGGAGTTACTCCACTGACGATGGGAAGTAGTCCTTCACAATGTCGTTTGACAAAAGATGGCTGTGAATCCCATGCAGAGAGGAGACTGAGACAGCTGAATCCTTATTTCAAGTTCCTTGGAACAGAAGGCTGTCTAAAGGTGGTGAATAAAACTGAGTGTGGAGAGAGAAAGCTTGTTCTCACTGACTTTTCTCTCTTGTGAAAGGTAGTGACAGCTGACCACATCCAGCTCATCGTGCCTCTGATGCTAGAGCAGAACCTGTGGTCTTGCATCCCCGGGGAGGACACTATCATGAACATTCCTGGCTTCTACTTGGTGCGTCGGGAAAACCCAGAGTACTTTCCCCGTGGGAGCAGCTACTGGGACCGCTGTGTGGTGGGAGGTTACCTTTCCCCCAAAGCTGTAGCAGACACCTTTGAGAAAGTTGTAGCTGGCTCCATCAACTGGCCAGCAATTGGGACTCTCTTGGATTATGTGATCCGTCCAGCAGCTCCCCCAGCAGATTTGACACTGGAAGTCCAGTATGATCCGGAACGGCATCTTTTTATTGACTTCCTACCATCCCTGACTCTGGGTGACATCATCCTTGTGGCCAAACCCCATCGACTGGCCCGGAATGACAATCTGTGGCGACTGAGCCTGCGACCAGCAGAAACAGCTCGCCTCCGAGCCCTGGACCAGTGTGATTCTGGCTGCCGTTGCTTGTGCCTGAAGATCTTCAAAGCAGTATGCAAGTCAAACCCAGCCCTGGGCCACCTCACTGCCAGCCAGCTCACCAATGTCATCCTGCACCTATCCCAAGAAGAGTCCGACTGGTCCCAGGACATGCTGGCTGATCGCTTCTTGCAGGCACTAAAGGGGCTGATCCGCTACTTGGAGGCAGGTGTTCTCCCTAGTGCTCTGAACCCCAAGGTGAACTTGTTTTCAGAGCTTACCCCCGAAGAAGTGGATGAGTTGGGCTACACTCTGTACAGCTCTCTGTCAGAGCCAGAGGTCTTGCTGCAGACGTAACAGGGCCTTTCCCAGGGAAGCATTGATAGAGTTTAGCCAAGGTAGACTTTGATTACTGCGAAATATGTCTCCTCCACTTCTCTCTCTCTGTCTCCTTTTGGTTCATTATTATTTCCTGCTGTGGAGTTGGTGCTCCCATTGAATTTCTTGGTGCTACTGGTCCATTTCCACCATCTCTGCCCCAACGGGTACTCATTGGCTAGGGAAGAGGGGCTAAAACTGCAGCTCTAAGATCTTTGCGTAAGTTCTACTGGTGTTTAAGTGTCTACCAAAAAAAAAAAAAACAACTAACTATGCACTTCTTTCTCCTGTAGTACACTTACTGCAGTGAGTCCATTTTTATCTGAAGAAGGTGGAACTGGGCTGGTAAATCCAGTGATGATTTTAGCAGGCTTGCACTGAGGTCCTGTCCTTTCTTTTCCTCCTTTCTGACTTGGCCCTGTGTTTCTTTTTCTCTGCCTGTACCACACTGTCTCACTTTGCTGTTTGTTTTTTTTTTTGTTTGCTTTTTTCTTTTCCTTGTTCCCTTTGACCCAGTCATGCAGGGCAGACTGAGTGAGATGTTTTGGATAGGTTTGTTTTTTGTATTTGTGAGTCAATAATTACACTGGTAGTATTTAGAGCTGTAGAGCTTGGAATAGAAGAACGCCATGGCTCCTGCTCCTACAGAGCCTTCTCATCCTTTGCAAGCTGGGTTCAGGAGTAAGGGCTGAGGCTTGTCCAGTCTGCTGCAGCACAACGTCCAGTAGGGACAGTTCTCACTGAAGCTATTGTAGGGGAGGAAGAAACCTTTGTGGTCTGGCTATGTGATGAAGCCAAAGGAGCAGGGCTTGCCGTTCCTGCCTAGCCAGCTCTGCTGGGTGTTGCTGGTGGGAATGGCCCTGGGAATGGAGAACAGGGAGGCTTCTTAAATGTCTCTGGTCTAGAGGAAGAGAGGCTGATTATGAGGGAGGGGTGGGAGACACACATGGGAACAGGGATTTTTATTTTTTTTTTTTTTCCCCCCCAGCAGCTTATGGCTCTTCTGGTTTATAGGAGGTGGAGGCAAGACTGCATGCCTCTAAGGGCTTTGTAACAAGCACGCGTAAGCCAGATTCTCGCCAGCTGTAAGTCTGTGAAGGTGACAGGACTGAACTGATGTCATCAGTAAGGTTCCATCGCATACACTGATACTAGGGTACATGTGCAGAGCTGCCATTTAGACATATGTTGGCTTTGCCATCTGGTCTCCCTATACGTTTTAGTCCCCTTCCCAGCCACCTCAGAACTGAGGCTGTCCATTGCCTTCCTCATTCCCTTGCACAGACTCTCCAGTGCTCCCAGTTTACAATTACTCTTGGAAAGCTGGTGAGGGCACACCTTCCCATTCTGTCTCTTTGGACCTGTTGGTAATGCAGTTCTGCCCGCTCGTGTTTGTGGCTGCTGTCAGGCTTATTCTCCCTGGGCTGCCCTCCCATCTGCTGCTGGACTGCGGTATGGGTTTCGGGAGGCAGCTGCTGCACTGTTGGTGTCTCCTAAACTCGCCACACAGACTCTATATACTCTGTGTTAAGCCTTCTGGCCTCCTGTCTTCGAAAAGGGGGAGGGAGGATGTCCTCCTGAGTCTGGGGCTGTGTCCCTGGCAAAAGGCCAGTGCAGCTGTGACTTGTCTTTTCACGGCTTTAGTACCTTTTTTCCCCTTGCTGTCCAGCTTCCCTAGCCAATGGAGAAGGGTACTGCAGCAGCAGGGTTTGGAGGGAGCAGGAATCCTTCCTTTCCTCTCAGGACTTCCCTCCACTTTGACAGAGAAGTTTCAAGGTGAATTTCAGGAGTGGAACCATGGAGGGGAGTCTTTAGCCCTTGTTTTCTTTTTAGAGGCAGTGCTGGTGAGATGAGGGAGGGAACATCTTTCTCGGACAATCCGTCCATTTTAGCCAATGTGGCAGTCAGATAGTATTCCGTACACACTGATAACGCAACATTGCATTTTAAATTATTTAAACCGTAGGGTACTGGTATTTTCTAGACTGCCAGATGTGTACTTTGAAGTTTGTGTGTGTATATAGTCTGTAATCTATAAAAGGTTAACAGAAATTCCATTTGTATGATTTTGTGTTTTGAAAGTTTTGCAGCAGTCAGTGTTGGTCAGCTGTTGATTGCTCTTCACTCTGGTTCTCAGATTTTTTTCCTCCCTTTCCCTGCCCTCCACTGCCTTTCTAACGTCAGCCTTCCTATCCTAAAAGCAGACAGATGAGACTTGGAGCCTATAGGCTATTGGGGGAAATTCCCCTTTCTTTTAATTACTTGAAGGTCAACAAAAATATTAAAATATCTGGGTTGTCAGGAGTTCCCCATAAGTTCACTTCTTCAGTCTGATCTCACCCCTCACTTGGTGCTGACTCCAATACCATGGTCTTCTCACAGAATTGAGCAGCAACATGGTTTGGAATGATCAAAACTATAGATACAGAAAAGGTGGGACATAAGCAGGAGGAGGCTACTGTCTGAGCTGGCTTGAGAACAGTTGCCACATAGATATCTGTATGCAGAATTTTTTACATGAATGCTTTTACTTCTTCCTGGCAACCTAATGAATTGATATTTTATGGCCATTTCTTGCTGCTATCGAGCTCAATTTGTGTATCAAATGGAGACTGAAGCTGCCTTTTTGCCTTTTCTGTAGACTTTGCTCCACTTCACTTGAAACACTTCCACCATTTCTTCCCTTCAGTTTTGCCTTCCTCTGAGCTAGCCACAAGCCCACTCTCGGGAGGCAGATGCTCACTTCCTACAAGCAGCCACCACGGAGGGCAATAGCTGCCCTGGCAGTGGCAGTCTCAGCAAAGGCCAAAGATGTAACGGGTCACAGGGACACTGCAACTAGGAGTATTTCAAGAGCAGGGTCAGCATAAGTGTCAACAGAAGGGAGGCAAGGAAGAAGGAGTAGGGTAAGTATGCAGGAAACTTACACTAATGCTGTACCCAGCCTTTGGGTCAAACAGACTGTTGCAGAGTCTTTCAAACTGGCACCTTTCAGTATTAAGTGCAGTACATATGTTGACGTACAGCCTGGAGGACTGTCTTACCTATAGATAGGCTCCTTCTTAGTCAAAGCTGTGGCACAGAGCAAGAGGACCTAAAGCTGAATGTGAAAAGGGCAGCTCACAGCCATCTTCCTGGCAGAGCAGCTCAGAGACAAATTGATTGTAAGAGGCCCAGAGCATGCGTTTGGTTGGCTGCTGCCTGGGCTCCAAGAATGCCTCGGTGTGTTCTGCGATAGCTTGGCTCACTCGAGCTTCCTACGAGATTGTTGCCTTGTTCCCTGTAACAACAGGGCGAGGACCGACCTGCTCAGCTGTGGTGTTTCACTGCTGCTGAGCTCCACCGCTAATCCTTCAAGTCAGATGGATTTCTTTTCCTGTATTTAAAAGCAATTATGGAAAGTAGAGGCTGCTTTCCGCCTCCTGGCGAGCGGCCATCAGGGCCCTCACTCTTAGCATGTGGGTACTCGAAGTGAGAAGTAAAGAGATGATGCCCATCTCTCCCAGGCCTGGAGGCTGTGGATTTGCAAAGGGGAAAGTGCATGGTCTGTGACAGAGTGCGCGAAATTCTGAAATAAAATTACTTTCCACAGTAACCTGATTGTCTCTGGTGTGTTTATAAAGAACGGAGCGTCTCTCTGCTTTTGTCTCAGTGCGTCACCTTTATTCTGACATAATTCTGCACCACACCAGTGCTTGGGGACCGACATGCCCCTTGCTGATTCACTTGCTCTTCCCTTCATGGCTCTGGGTGCTCTGCAGCTTGTCTTGAGAGAGCAATCAGCTCGGTCCTGCAGCGTTCTGGCTCCCAGCAGCGTTCGCACCAGTCACAAGATGATGCGTAATGATGGCGCTGTGCCTCCCATCCTTTCTCTGATAGCCTGCGTGCCCGGACAGGCGCCTGCTTTTCATGTGGCTCCCCAGACTTCACAGGCTTCTGTGCCTCTTCTTAATATTAAACTTTCCTGTAGAGGCTCCCTCACCCTTGCTCAGTCACAGGTTAGTTTCTTCGTGCCAGTCCTCTCCCCTGCCAAATGCACTCCTCTTATCCAGGCATCAGCCTTGAGGCAGTGAGGAAGCTGCGGAAGCTGCTGTGCCAGGGGCTTGCGTCTGATGTATTAAAGCTCTTCCCAGTATGACCCAGTTTTATGTACCTACTTGGGAAGATGGGGCGGAAGTGTTGGACATCAAGTAAAGCATAAAGTGATGCTGCTTTTGGATCCTGGGCTCCTTAATTCTGGGAAGACGTGCTATGGTGACAACGTTGTCCTATGAGACTTATTTTAATGAGGACTCAGCAATTAACTATTTTGGAGGATGTTACAGAAAGGCAGTCTACATCTCTAATGTTTTTTTTCTGAGGCATCTTGCCTGTGTTGTTTTGTTTTGGTTTTTTTTTCCCTTTAATCTCTTCTGTGGTAGAAACAGATCAGATGAGATCAAGCACATTTCATGTCATATGGAGTCTTACAGGAACAGCTAAAACAAGCTGCTGTGTGGAATCTGTGCCAGGCGTTACCCCCTCAAGTTAATGGCCCTGGAAAGTCTAGAGCTTGCAACACATGTTTAATGTATGCAGCGGTTTGCACCTTTGCATAAAAGCTGCCCTGGCATGACTAGGGAGGAAAGATCAAAAGATAGGGGTTTGTTTAACGTAGAGAAGAAGTAATTGAGAGGAGTTATGATAATTATTTCAAGTATGGAAAAGGTTGCTACAAAGAAGAGGAGCATAAATGGTTCTCCAGGCTGCAAGGGCTCAGCATCTCTTTTGTTCTTAGCCTAAGGAACAAAGAGCTCAGGAGGAACGTGAATTTTGGAAAAAGCCAAGTATTTTTGCGTACTTCATTATATAACCACAGTCCTGTCTTGGAAATGAATGTAGCTGAGCTTACATTTTACTTATTTATTTTTGCCTCTTAAATAAATTCCTGCCTGACTATTCTGTGGCTAATCTTAGGCTGGGCGAGAGAAGGTGGCTGTACCCCAAATTTGAGATTATCATGCTGAAGTGTTGAACTATATGATGAATGATGTTGCTTTTTTTCCCCAAATACTTAATCACCTCTGTGGGTTTTTAAAGGCTTATTTTAATATTCTAAACTCCAGAAAAGCTGCAAACAGCTGCTGCTTTTTAAATTTAGTCTCATG